GACGGTGAAATGCGATGCGATCTCATCTCTTTCTAGTCTTTCCCTCAATACCTACCTCGAGGTGTACGGAGCAGCCCTGGAAGGAATCCACTTGGAAGTTCGAATCAACTACGACCAGTGCAACGATCCCACCGGGAGCGGATTGGATTTCGCGGGGGTCACCGGCGGAGCTTACCTCAGGCAGATCTTCGTTTACAACTCCGATAGTGGGGCTCCTTTCGTTCGATCGCTCGTTCGTAGGGGATGCGATGACGGGGAGATTTTTTTTTTTCTCTCTCTCCAGGTCCTGACTCGACCATCTTCAGTGCTGCCCACGCCTGGGTGTCCAATTATGTAGCCGGGGAAGGATTCGCCGACTTGTCGGTCGTCTGGAGCTTGGGTCGCGACGGTGTCGCCATCGTGGTTCCTGCCCTCTGGTCGGCCGAAGGCGGTCAAATGACGAACCTCTTCGGGGATGATTTCTTCCTGGAATGCACTCTCGGCCAGGGTCTCATCGTCTACTCCACCAGACTGGACTGATGTTGTAAATGTCATGCAATGAAGGCCATTGAGGAAAAAAAAAAAAAACAAATCGTCCTCCGAAAATTGTTCACTTTCTAAACCCTTCTGGGGATGCTGTGCCAGTTCCGAAACCATTTGGCCCAGACGTCATGCACACGGATGTGAGGGCCAATATAACAAAAAACGGCAAAACGTCCTGTAACTCATTCGTTCCTTGACTCAAAGATTCATTCGCAGATGCCGCATCTCTCGAGGTTCCTCTATTGGGTGTTGGAGGCACAACATATGGAAATATTTCCTTCCTTATCGGTTTCCTTCCGAATTGAGAGTCGAGCACGCGACCATCTGGGTTCTGAAAGTTACAGGGTTAAATGAAAAACGAAATGCACGCTTCTCCGGTCGAGATCCGAAATTTTCTCATTTTCACTCCGGCGGAAACATCGTCTTTTCATCGTGGCGACTTCAAAATGTCGGTCCAAAATCCGAAAACGGAACGGAACGATTTTCCACGGTAACGAGCGGCAGTCCGCCTCGTAGACGAATGTGAACTTCTCTCTTCCCCGCTGCGATAAACACGTGAACTAACCGCGAGTGGCGCAGTGCTGCCATCTGTTCTTTCTCGATGAACTAATAGGATAGCTTCGGAAAAGGTGGCGTTCATGCGAAAAGACTAGCTGCTGGTCGTTCCAATTCCCGATTGTTTTGGTGCCTGTATAATTCCTTCTGTTAAAAAAGTTTTATCCCATGGAGTTCCATCACTTTTTTGCGGCTTAGTTATTTTTATTTGAATTAATAATATTGGCAGGTTCCTGTCTCTGTGAACTCCGTTACGGAAATGCCATTTAAGATATCAGCTAACTTGTAGTGTCTGACGACAGGAGTCATTCCTATCTCCACGGAAGACTAGAAAATTCGCAGCTGTGCACTTCCACGTTCTTCCCCCCCCTCCCCCTGCATATCGAGATTAGATAAACGGGCCAATTTTGCAAGAACCTGGCGAAAAAAATCCCGGGAGCGAAAATCCTGAGATGTTATTGATAGAATGGAAGAAAAGGTGCATTTTACCATAGGAAATTTTCGTTAATCTGTATTACTTTTTCCCATAGGATTATACACTCTGAAAGTAAAACATACGAGGGTTACTGGTACTGGTTACTGGAGGGGTACTGGGAATCATCGCCGCAGAAAATCTGAAAATTTATGTAGGGGTTTCCTTCGTTATCACATATTTTCGTTGAAACGTTTTGAGGAAAATTTGAAGTAGTAAAGTGTTGGTCATACGTGAAGATGAAGTTGAAATATAATACTGCATGCTGTAACGCATGAAAAAAAGTTTATGCAAATTTTTTCAAATATAATCAAATTTAAAATATAAATATAATATATTTTATTAAATGTCCATAGTCACTTTCCTATTTCAAAGAGTCTTATCTCCATTACGGAGGGGTCTCGAAACTTCATATTCGACACAGATGATGTATGTAGATGGGATTTATAATAGCCAAGTTTCCAATTTTTTCCAAAAAGTTTCTGAATATCACCACCAGGGCGGCACTGAACACGGTTACCTCCACACTTCGGGAGACGCGTCCAGTCTCTTCTCCAAGGCACGTTCCAGGACCGTGTGATCAGCAGGGCTTTCCCACAGGCCTAGCCGCCAAGGTCACAGGATCTTGCACCTGCGGGCTTCTGGCCGTGGAGTTTCCTGAATTCTGGCTGTGGGTTTGACAGTGGCCGTCCTTCGAACTTAGTGGAGCTCAAGGATGCATAGCGGCGCCCAGATGCTGACATTATCGTCTGACTAATCACGTTCTGTCGTCTACCACTTCATTAAATGGACGGAGGCGGTGGTAGTTGGGGCAGGGGGGTGGCCACATCGAATACCTGCAGGTTTCGTCGTGCCGTCCACGCGGATATCGGTGTATGTGCCGACTTTGGACTTGGCCGGTGTAGCGCCACCCTTGTGGTGATTTCCAGAAACTTATTTGAAACCTTTGGAAACTTGGCTATTATAAATCCCATTGGCTGTACATCATATGTGCCGAATATGAAGTTTCTAGGCAGCTCCGTATTGGAAATAGTGCTTTTTGAAATAGGGAAGTAAATTTATGGACACCCTGTATATATACAGGGTGATTAAAAAGAAACTATTGCACCTCACCGTTTAATATGTCAGAAACGGTATGACTTAGGAAGTTAAAATTGCACAGGGGTGTTACGGGGACCATTCGCTCAAAGATGACATAGTTATCACATGTAATTAGGGGTTCCACTGCGACTTAATGTCTCGCTAATCGCAGTAACTGCTGAATATGTGCTCCCTCAGTGTCCAGAATGCAAAACGAATGAGTTTCTTCAGAGGAACTGCAATTTGCTGTGAGGCTTTTTTGAGCCGAGCCGAGGACGGAAAGGGTTTCGACTCCCGGATGTGTGAATCGTGTGAATGCCGGATGTGTGAATCGTGTGAATGCCGGATGTGTGAATCGTGTGAATGCCGGATGTGTGAATCGTGTGAATGCCGGATGCGTGAATCGTGTGAATGCCGGATGTGTCTCCAGTCTTGTGAAATTTATAGCCACTCTTAAAAACGAGCACCTCTTCGTGCAAGACCAATTCTTTGCGCACTTCATCGGACATGAGAGAGTATGAGGTTTTCCCGAAAATAATTTGAAACGGTGGGGTTCCTGCTGACACAAACACGAACCAAAATGGATCCTGCGAAGTAGCTACTTCGAAAGTATGAGTAACTCTTCGAAAAGGGGGCAACTGCGCCTATTCCGTTCACGGCGAAACGAAAATGAGTTCTCGTTTATCCCTTAGTCGTCCTCTACTTCGAAGTGTATGAAGCTGCCTTAGTTGGGACATCACTGGCATATGGTTGGTTTAAGTCGGCTTATGGTGGGGCGTGTCCTGTTGGTCAACTTTGGTTCATTGTTGGGAAACCGCACGTGCCCCGACCACGACCGTTAACATTAAAAATTGCCAGAATAAGAATTAAATGATCCTACTTGCTCTTCAAAAAGCATTTGCAGGCGATTCTGATGATTTTCTACGCAGATTGCCGTGGTCTTGACAGAACGATTCTGCAAGATTTTTTTGCCCGTACGGAACTGCGGAGTTTGGAAATTCTCGCATCGGTCGTTTCCCACACGAGACACGGGCGGACCCACCGCCGTCTTCCTCGCTACTTCCTGTTTTCCACAAATAACTGGACAGGTGAGGAGGTTCCCTGGCCTGGCATCCCGTCTGGTGTTCCCAAGGACGGGATTCCCTGTATATAAGGAAGCTTTGGGGGAAGGGAGGAAGCGATCGCCTGTGTCGAGATGGAGTTCTTCTTTCTTCTTGCCTTCGTTCTGCCGGGAGTCCTCGGCCAGGGTATGAGTTTCTGCTTTCTTCGGGAAAAGCCACAATCCTATTCTCATCTCTTTTTTTAAATATTTATTGCCGAGCGTTTCTGGAGAGAACAATAGGAGGCTCTTATCTAATGTCCACTTAGTCTGTAAGGGGAAAAAAAATCTCAAGAGTCATCTACGAGCTTCCCAAGTAACACAAGATATTCCAGCAACGTTTAGGAAATGTCGATGAACAATGTTGCATCTATGTGTAAATGTCCAAAACGTCAACGTTGCTCAAATGTTGCGAAGGAACATTGCATTTACGTTGCAAATCGCTACTTATTCATTACATATACGTTGCAGATACGTTTCAGGATTTATGTTGCTGCAATGTTGATTAAAAACGTTGCTTCACGGGCACCTAATCTGGGTCTATATTGGCATTACGGAAAAGCGTAGGCTTCATTGGTCNAGGCAACATTTCGAAAACGTTTCATCAATATACTGTGTTACTTGGGTTGAGCCCATCCTCACGCTGGCTCGTCGCGTCGTGTGTCTCATTAACTACAGGTCTCTCTCGAGGGTATACAGGGGAGAAGGCATTGAAAAATTCCGGAAACGCGATAAGGAAGGGGTCCTCAGACCCAATCAACTTCGTGCCCGATGTGAGGTTGGCGTCATGAGATGAGAAGAACCGAGAGGCTCGTCTAGAGGGATTTCCTCGGTCTTGACTAGGCGATGTGATTGAGACACGTCTTAGCTTCGCAATCATAGCAGGCACGTGTCATTTCGCAGATTCTTTTCACAGATGCTCATTTTTTCATGATCATCGGTTTAGGCAAAGTTGCTCAAGTCTCAACGTTTCTTGGTCTTTCTCCTAATGAATTTAATCATTCATAATAATTGCGTGTCACGTAATAGAAGGTGTAATAACTTTCGCAGCCGGGCACAGGTGCACAAGTTTTTGCACTAATGAACCATTCATGAAATATTTATTCAATTTTTAATTAGTCGGCCATTCCGCGTTTTCTTCTACGCAGAAAAAAGAGAAGACTCAGGACGTACAAGACCGACTCATGTCTACTTTTTCTTGCAAAAAATAAACAGGTCAGCAGCTCCTATCCTTCGAGGATGTGGCAGCATCCTTGGAACTCGGGAATCACGTGACGGCCATCTTCGACGCCAAAAACTGCGACGTCCAATTCCCACCCGAATTTCGTTTCATGCCTGTAAGTCCCCATTGCCCCCTTGCCCCTTGTCCCCCCCTCCCCTTAATATCCCTCAGCCCAAAAAGACAACATAGGCTGGAAGTCTGATGGAATGCCTTTTTTTCTCCTCGTTGCAGACGCTGGTGATTCCCATGGACCCGTGGACGAGGGTCCAGCTGGAGGACGGCAGCCAAGATTTCATCACCTTCAATCACGACTTCATCTTCTGTATGGATACTTTTTTCTAATCGATGAATGCTCATTTGGACAACAAAAAAAAGCATGATTGGCAGGGGCAATCCTGTAGTAGAGTTCCTTCCTCCATGGAAGATTATCATTTTATTATCCCGTCGAACAATATACGATGAATGTCGCTCACGTGAGAGAAACTTTCCATTAGCGAAACGCGTTTGGTGCGAAAGCTCGTTTCCATGAAACGATGGGTCCGACAACCGCCAGGGCTGGAAGAGAAGTGGATGTTTTCGTGCTGTTCGGTTGCTATGGTTATTCCGGACAGACGGAATGAAAAAAAAAAAGATAAGTGACAGACCGATCGCAATATCTGCCATTTCCTCATAGTACCTGAGGGAATGGCAGATGTTGCGGTCGCTCTGTCATTTTTTTTTAAATTCCGTCTTTCCGCAGAAACCATAGCGACCGGACAACACGACCCAATGCGCACGCACAGCTTTCCGCATGGGTCGGGGTGTCCGTCTTCCGCAAGAACATCCACTTCCTCTCCAGCTCTGGCAGCTGACGGATACATAGTGGACAATGGAGGAGATCGGATCCTCCCCGCCATTTAGACAGGGTTGCTAGGCGTACGCGTGAAATACCGCATCTGGCATCCTAACACTTCATACTCCCCTCCCATCTCCACCCCAGGCAGACGTGCGGACCATCGAGAACAAGTCTAGTTGTACGGGCCTTTTCATATAGGCCTACGCCGAACCAGTGGCAACTTTTATTTATTTCAAGATTGGATTGTTAGGATGCGGTGAAAATATATATCAATATCGGTGGTACAGGGGTCAGTGGAATGCCAGATCTGTACCTGGGTTGGTACTCTCTAGATACAGTTCCATTTTTGCACGATATCCTCCGTCTCCACGGTGCTTTACGGAGCTCCATATCCTTTGGTAGACGATGGAGACTTCATAGTGGTGACGGGATCGCTGGACGACATCGGGAGGGCCTCGTTCGTGCTCCACGAGATCTCGGGCCTGGATGGCTCGCTCAAGGAATCCACGGTCGCGGAATGCACGCTCAACATTGGGGCCTTCTTCTTCGAGAAGAGATTCGCCTTTCCCAAGTCTGTTCGCTTCCGACGGAGTTGCAGGGTTTTCCGTCGCGATTGCTGTGACGATAAGATGCGGGACTTATTCAGTTCCGTTGTTGGTGGGATCGAATTTGAAACTTTCGAACCGAGAGAAGGCACCAAAATGGAAGCTAATGAACGATCCCGACATTTTCATTCCTAAAAATAAGGTTTTTTCTGACTCTCTCACTCCATCTCTTCGTCTCGCAGATTTCTGATCAGCGAGAGCATGGAACGCGTTGGAATCTACAAGCGATATTCTGCACAGTATGGTGAAGATTGCTTGTCAACGGCATACTTGTCCTTTGTCATGAGTGACAAAGGGACTGGGGACTTGCAGCATGTGAATCAGTTCACATCCATCTTTAAATGATTAGCACCAGTCAAATACGGACGTCTTGACAGGCAATCATCATCATACTGTCACAGTGAAAACAATTGCAAGTGACTTTCAGCAGGCTTAATGTTCTCGTTGATCAGAAATTTCGTAATAATTCGATGTTCCATCTTCACTGTTACCTTAATGGATGCCATGTTGATTTTCAGCTCATGGAATAAAAGCAGGAGACACGTGGTAACTCGTATACGAGTTACCAACACCATAAAGAAAAGTTCCCCAAAACCCATACTCTGCTCACATTACTCTGTCTTTTGTAAACAAAAGCCCAGATCAAATTCGAACCACCCTCACAGAATATCAGTCTGCAGCCTTCATGTTCTCAACTGCGGTGAGAGCAATCGTGGATATTTGTTCTTTCCAGTGAGCATATCACGACCTACGATGACCTGAAATCTCAGATTCTCGGCGGTACACACGTCACATTCTTGGGCCTTGCGGAATTGTGCGAAGGAAACCCGACGACGGGGGTGTCCAAGGCTCAGGGAGGAGGCTACCATATTCAGTTCTACGTCGAAATCAGTCAGTTTCTATTTTGTTTCATTCCCCATTGACGGGTAGTTATTTCATGAAAACTTCCTCCTCCTTGCCACAAGTGAAAGGTTTTATCAAATTATTTACCATGGAGTTATGAAGGAGTCAGGAGTTACAACAGGATTTTAACAATCCCGTTCTTTTTAAGCTTGAAGTGAGAATTCCTTTAAATTTTCGAATCCATCGTCATATTTAGCGATTCAAAACGAATTGTTTCTCTTTCATTCACGGCGAATCCCTTCACTGCAGACCCGGACAACGGCCAAGAGGACATCATCCTAGAATACGACTACTTGGGAGTGAGCATGGACGGTTCCACGCCGACCTTCAACGTCGTTCGAATGAGAGTCTATCCAGGTGGGTTCGTGAACGTCACCGGGAACTCCTTCCTCACGACGACCTGGGAAGACGAATATCCCTTCCCCGAGGGGTTCCAGTGCACTCTCGACGACGGTGCTCGCTTCCAGTATCGGCGACGTGAGCCTCTTCACTCAAATCCATCGCAGTTTAGAACCCTTTCTAGAAGCATGCTTTCGCTGTTTGAGAAGGTAAATCGTTATTATGTCATCGGCAAATGACAATCCATTAATCCGGAACGTTAGCATTCAGTGAAATGGATAATGGACACGTTACTTATTTATCTATATGCATATACGAGGTCTGGCAATAAAGTTCCAGGACTGATTTTTTTGTGAGTCTGTCAATATCACAAAAATTATTTTCATTCCATGGACTGATAG